ACATATACATATACATATACATATACATATACATATACATATACATATACATATACATATACATATACATATACATATACATATACATATATATTCTCATAGATAACAATGAGCTATAGCTTGTTTTCAGTTATTTATTGCAATAATACTGCAGCAAATGTTCATGATTTAGCTAGTGTACTCTAAAAGTTGAGATAAAGCTGCATGATTGTCAATACTATCAAGCTTGGTTTAGTGGATAGCAAATATTCCAAGTTGGCTTGTGTTTTTAACGATTTTGTGCTTATGACTTTGGAGCAAGTTTAAGAGAACTAAGTGAGACAGTAATACACACAATTATTCAGTAAATTAAAGCCACACAGATTTTAAAAATGTATCTAGTATTTTCATCTGTAAAGTATGTATCAATTACTCAACCAGATGAGATCAGTGTATAGGAAATCTCTCCCATATGTTTTCATAAGTTATTTTGGGAATTACATAAGAAGTACAGATAGCTATTTATGACAGGACAATCATTATTTTGTTTTCATACATAAAAGCTCTTCCCAAACTTATATGAAACATATGAAAAAACTCAGACTGAATAGATAGAAGAAAACATAACCAAATGTGATGGCTTACTTTCTAACCATTAATATTCTAAATGAGATGTTTGGTGTCAATCCATCTTTAATTTACTACAGATCTACAAAAGCAGTTAAATATTCATGATAAAATGTTTTAAATCTTTTCTTCAACCTCCTTAAAATGTACGATATGCAAAGAAAAAAAAGATGATCGGGAAATAAATCTAAGCCCCAAACTATCGTATTGCAATGCAGCAATGGGAACTGCAGGCTGGCAAGTTGCATTGGGAGGAGGAGAAGAAAGGGCATTTTTGTTTACAGGGTCTCTTTCTTTCTTTCTTTCTTTCTTTCTTTCTTTCTTTCTTTCTTTCTTTCTTTCTTTCTTTCTTTCTTTTCCTTCCCCTCTTGATCCTGCTCTGCAAAAACTGTGTCAACCTTCACAATAGAAATGATAGCCAGGCCGATCAAAGCATCATAAAATTTAATTTCTCTTCGAACAGTCTTTTTATTAACTTTTTATTGTGCCAGAGCCTTTAAATAAACCTTGCCACTAAATATATTTACTAAATTGGCTACCAAGTAGTTTCCCCATGATTGACAGATTGATATCCAACTTCATTATTGTATGGATAGATATGCACTTGCTTGTTGCCTGAAATAATCATTCCAGGCTGATATGCTTGTCTATGTGCACGCATGGGTGGGCATTCTGCATGTTCATATTATCTCATCTCACATCCAGTTATCAGTTGTCTCACATGGTGTGCAAACAACCAAATCTATGCACAAGGAAAAAAACAAGAATTTCCCACAATTCTACTTTAAAAAGTGTGTTGCTGAATTAATAGAATCCTTATCACTTCTTTGGAAAACTAATGTCCGATTTTGTGCTAAACAAAATGCTCAAATGAAATAGCCTTTGATGGCATCTCACTTACAATCCATATTCACCTCCAAAAGAATAATTGCAAGGTAGGGAGATTAAGTTTCAGATTCCTCAGAGACAACACCTGTAAGTGAAGCAAGCACCAGAACTTGTTGAAAATTTAACTTAAATTATCAGATCTATCACAGGAAACAATCCCATTTGGCATGTGACATTACCAAAACATCTCATTTTTCAACCACAGAGAGAGATGGAGAAAGAGAATGCTATGAAATTTGAGTAAGATTAGTTCCTTTCTCTGCAAAGGACACTACAGGGGAAAAAAGGAATCAAAAATAAATCTGAAACTGTACAAGAAAGCTCCACTAACAACTAACGCATCTTTGAGAAAATCTGTATGATAAGCAGCCGTTTAGAAACCCCAACTAATTTCCATTTTGCTATCAATCTGCATTAGCGGAGAGTATTTGGAGCTGCTTTCTGAACCCACATATTCATTTTAGCTGAGCCTGCTGAAATGCACAAAGGTGGTGGTGGGGGAAGTGGATACAAGGACTCCAATCAAAGTTATTGCTAGGTAAGAAGGGGTTATGGGGAAAGATACAGATTATATTCTATTTGCCTAGAAAAAGAGGCCACAGAACGCCTTCACATCAAACCTCCAAGATACTGCTTTAATCCACCATATATCAGCATCTTGCACAATTCTTTATAGATAGATAGATAGATAGATAGATAGATAGATAGATAGATAGATAGATAGATAGATAGATAGATAGATAGACAGACAGACAGATAGATAGATAGATAGATTTCCCAGACACTTTACAATGCAAACGCTTAATGCGACTGGTAACTTTAGCGAGCAAGTGCTGTCCATTCAACATGGGAGTACAAAAAAATAAAGAACATTATAAAAAATACGGTAGTGAAGATCTTGGACTTACCTGTCCAATAGTCGCCCCTGAAAACTTCTCCAATGAAAACGAAAATCCCTCTAGTTCCCCCGGGGATCTTTTAAGTTGACTCGGAGCACAATAATCAGCGAGTTTTTCAGATGGTCCATTTACTAATCATCCAGCTCAAGGGAGGGGGAGGGGAAAAAACCGGAAAGGTGTCCAAGAGACTTTGCAAAAAGTATGTCCAGGTTTCCAAAGCAATCGGGAAAAGGAGGCAGGTTGAAGAGGCATAGAAACCAGTGGCCCGAGAAAAGAAATTCTCCCCGTCTGCACGGTACACCTCGCTTCTCGCTCTCCAGAGCGGGAGAGCAAAGCCGTCAGTGGTAGCTTCCAATCTCTGCCGTCTTATGCTGCAGATGGTACATCTCGCTCCTACCTTCCCAATTGGGCAAGCGATTCAAAGAACAGGAAAGCCAGCCGTCTCCCCCCACCCTCCCCGGGGGGAAAAACAGGTGGACTGTCAGCCACTCACTCACAGAACCTGATCAATCAAGAGAGGTCCGGGGCGATCAGCAGAGACAGTTCTTTGCAGGATGCCCGGATTATGGCAAGGTTATTAATCTTGCTTTGCTGCATCTCCCTCCCACCCCGTGCATTCAGCCGCCTGCGTTGAAATGATTGCCAGCTCTGTCTCTGTCCCTCTTCCACTGCATTTTGCTCAGCCCTCCCTTTGCTGCAAGTAAAACACAGAGGAGGGAGGAATACTAATAAGGTGGTTAGCTACCGTTTTCTCCGAGGCATTCTACATAGGCTGTGTCTCTGTGTTAGTTCTGTGTCCAACTGGGCATGAGATCAAGAGCAGGTCTGGCGTCCGTGGGCTGCCTTGTGCATGGATGGAAAGCGCATGCAGCAGCTTCGTTTGCACTGGCTTCAGCAAAGCGGGTTCCCCATTTGCCCCATGCAAAATTTATTTGGGATTAGTTCTTTTCCAGAGGATCTCACTTTATTGAAGATGTACAGGAGATGAAGCATTCCGTTCTCCTCCACCTAACACACACACATACACTCCCCCCCACCAAAAAAAAGCCCAAGGCCCTGGACTCGCAGTTAAAAGCAAAAGACCTCTTCCAAAAGAAAATGAGATGAAGTTAACAAATATGGCTTTGAAAAGTGCAGGTCAGTCTATGCTCTACAATGTCCTCTTGCAGACCTAGATTAGAGTTAAAGGCAGTTCCTGAAACCAGCAAGAACATATAAAGATAAGAGACTCCTTCAGTATAGAAATAACATTGGAAATCACCTCGTGAAGGAAGGGATTTTAGGAGTGGGCAGCCCCCTTCTCTTTCATTCTTGACTGATTCTCCTGGGTGTCAGTGAGGAATTCTCTTCGTCTCTTTCTTGTCCCAGCATCACAAAAGAAAATAAAACCAGAGATGCGCATTTAGCTTGGCATTCTAAGTGTAATGCATTGCTTTTAATGACAGGCCTTGCAGCAAAGAAAAGAGGAGTCTAAAAGGTTGGCTAAGCAATGGCTCTCCCCGAGACTCTATTCATCTGTGATCATCCATGTACAAATTCATCTATAGAGCTGCACTCAGTAGAATTTGCTCTCTTGGACTACAAAAACAGCTGCTATTTGTGCCAATGTTCAAGCAGGTAAATTCCTTTTGGCTGTAGTCCCAGATATATCCAGCAGATGCTGCTAGTTATAGCTCAGTCAGGAAGCAAAGGAAGAATAACTTGTGCTACAAGTACGAATGGAAAGTATTCAATCAAATTTACCAGATACACACTGATTTACAGTAATTTCTGTGGTGGGAGATATTAATTTAATATTATTGCAGATTAGGAAAACTAGTGATTCCAAATATTCTGGACTTCAGTTCCTATCAACTTCAGTAAATTTGGCTAGTGGCCAAAATGAATAGAATAGAACAGAACAGAATAGAATAACTGGAGGGGACTTTGAAAGTCTTCTAGTCCAGTCTCCTGCTCAAGCAGGAGAACCTATACCATTTCAGACAAATGACTTTCTAGTCTCTTATCCAAGTCGCAATCCTAAACATCTGGCTGAAAAGCAAGATGCATATTCCTTTATTATTTTATCCTTTAAACCAATATCTGGATCATGAATCTATATTTTTGTAATAAAACATAATATCATGAATTGAACTGAGATAGCAGTTAAGTAAAGGTGGATTATACAATACATTGATTGGACAGCATTTGTGTTATTTAATTTTATATGACAATAACTTTCTTCTTCTAAAAGGAGTTTAACAGAATAACAGAGTTGGAAGGGACTTTGTAGGTCATCTAGTCCAATCCCTCACTCAAGCAGGAGACCCTACACCATTCCTGATAGATGGTAGTCAAGTCTCTTCTTGAAAGCTTCCAGTGATGAAGCTCCCACAACTTCTGAAGCCAAGCTATTCCATTAGTTGATTGTTCTCACAATCAGAAATTTTCTCTTTATATCTAGGTTGAATCTTTCCTTGATCAGTTTCCATCCATTATTCCTTGTCTGGACTTCAGATGCTTTGGAAAATAGGTTGACCTCCTCCTCTCAATGACAATGTCTCAAATATTGGAACACTGCTATCACATCTCCCCTAGACTAGCAATGCCGGTAACCGTTCTTCATATGTTTTAGCATCCAGTCCCCTAATCATCTTTGTTGTTGTTCTCTGCACTCTTTCTAGAGTCTCAACATCTTTTTTATAGTGTAGTGACCAAAACTGAATATACTATTTTAGGTGTGGTCTTACTAAGGCTTTATAGAATGGTATTAGTGCCTCACAAGATCTTGATTGAAACCTTCTGTTAATGCAAGTTAGGATTGCATTGGCTTTTTTTTTTTTTTTTTTTTTGCTGTTGCTGCACACTGATGGTTCATATTTAATTGGTTGCTCACTAAGACTCCAAGATATCTCTCAAAGGTGATGCTATTAAGCCTGGTTTCTCCCAGTCTATATGTGTACTTTGGTGTTTCTTGCCTAAGTGTAACTCTTTACTTTTCTTTACATTAAATTTCATTTTGATAGTTAAGGCCCAGTGTTCAAGGCCAATCATCTAGGGTGTTGAAGGAGCTGAAGATGTTGCATGTCTCTTCCTACTTTCCAGGAGATTAAAATATCATAGGTTAATATCAACCAAACACCTAATGTACATCAGGCTGAATTGTTCTATTTTTTAATGTTTCCTGATTTTTACATATGCAACATTTTAGGAAATTAATGTTTGGTATTATGGATATTGACAAGATAAAGTGGATGTTTGAAAATAATATTGTAGGGGATTCAATACCTTCTTTGTATTTTCTTCCTGGGCATTAAACTTTGATATCAGTCTGTTCATCCACATTCACATAGTTTTAGATCCTATCAATGTTAATAAGCCTTTCATTTATGGCTATCAAGTTTTATAACCTGAGACTCAGATAATTTAAAACCTAGCATATAAACTCAATTTTACTCTGTTCCTCTGGCTAGTATTATCTTTTCATCATAGTTCATAGTTGCAATTAAGAAACAGCATGCCTTTTCAGAAACAACCAATAGACTACTACATCCATACAGCATCACTGCAGCAGGCAAACTAGCTAAAGACATCTAAAGCATTTTAAGCAAACTGAAAGACCCAATAGCCCATAAGTGACAAACTGGTGGCCCACGGGCTGGATGCGTCATGCGCAGGCCATGCCCACCCGAGCTCCATGAATGAAAAAAATGTCATGAAACATGATGTGACGGCAACATGACACAGCGAGTTTGACACCTGTGCAGTAGCCCAAGAAGAAAAACAGGAGTCATCTGCAACATAGAGTGTAAGGTCTGTGACAGCCACTATGTAATATGGATAGGCAGAAGACAAGCAAAGTGTGTCCATGAACAACAACTAGATTCAGAAAACACAATGAAAACTCTTTAATCTCACAAACATGGATAGAATGAATTAGTTTCAACTGAAAACTGCTAGTATCCAAGGAAATAAAAAAAAATGTTCTTCCTGATCTGAATGCAAAATGGGTTTTTTTGCAGACGTCTAGACTAGCACTGATAATGTTACCTAGTTAGGATAATGAAACCTGCAAAAAAACAATCAAGCTCAAAGTACCAAGAACCCCTCATTTCAACCCTGAACTACAAATATTCTGATTTATAAATAGTTTTTTTTTTTAAAAAAATGTGCTAATTATCTTATTCAGTCTTGGAAAGAAACTGTTTGGGTCAACTTTAGCCATCAATGATATTGATTGACAACATGCCTTGATGGAGTCATGTGAGGTAGGTAGGGCTGAGAGAGTGATTGATCCAGAGACACTCAGCTGATTCATATCTAAAGTAAGTCTAAAACTCACAGTCTCTTGGTTTTAGGATAGCACCTCAAACAGTAAACCAAGTTGATTATTTTCATGGCTATCTAAGTTCTCCACTAAGGTAATGTATGGGAACAAACTTTTCACTTTTTCACCTTTTGATTGTAATAATATCTAAAAATTCAGTTTTAAGCTTAAGAAAAAGATAAACTGATAGCATAAACATGTGAAAGAAGCAGATAATTACTATACATTTACATATTCTCTCATTCCTGTTTATTATAGTTCATTCCCTATTAATCCACTAGAATATGATTTCAAATCAATAGGGCATTTGCTTCTTTCTAATTATTTTGCCCATACCTTGAATATTCTTCACTCTTGTATATATTGAACCCTAATTAGGATTACCAATACAAGAACAGTAGCCTCCTGTCTTTCTATTGGCAGAACTGAGAGCACATAATATTCTTTGCTCTGTTCTATTCTTGGAATCTGCTTGCTATGGTTAATTTTCAGTCTGTTGGATTTGGCCTGATGTTCTAGCCTATCAAATCATCAGTTATTTACTTGTAAGATACTAGCTAATCTCGTTATCCTGATATCATCTGCACATTTCTTCTAAATCATATAAAATATATATTGAAAAGCAAGTACATAATGGAGCTCTAGAGGACTTACTCATCACTCTTCTCCAAGATAATGGGTGGTTAGTATGGTTATTGAATTGGTTCCATCTAGCTGCACTTGGTCCATATATTGTCTATATAGAGATCGCAAGAGACATTAATATATGTGTTTTTGTGATCATGCTACTTAAATATGATTTTACTTCATCCCTTTAGTGTAGTTATTCAATCAGGTGGAAATCCACCAGAACCTCAATCCATCGAGCTGTCTCTTGTCCCTATTTGATCTATAAAGAGAAAAAAGAGATCTTATTACATGTGTTATTGTGATCAAACCATTTCAACATAATTCCTTTAAACTTCAATACTAATCACTTAATCTTTTAAAGAAGTAACATTAACCACAACTTGTTCTTGTGTCAAGTGCTTGCAGACATGCTACTTGAAAATTTCTTTTAATGGATTGCCTAGGGTAGATATCAGTTTATCTGGTTTGTAGGGGCACATTTCTTCCCCTTTTGTGAATATTGGACTATCTTTGTTCTTCAGACTTCTGGCATTTCACCAGTTTTCCAGGAGTTTTCAAAGATTATATTCAGCAATTCTGAGATCATTTCTGCTA